ACCCTTAGATAGAGGTATAGCATCGATCCTCGGAAGCCTGGTAGAGCTTCACTTGAGTCTTCGAAACGACCAATCCAGGAACCAACAACGACTCTGTCAGACCCGCGCGTAACACAAGCACACAATTACTAACACTGTGTGCATGTGGAGCTCTCAGACTTTAAGGTTATTGTCAAGGTTGACAAAGCGATGTTTTTCAAAATCCGGATAAATCCTCCGCTTGTCTAACCAAACTTGATACCATCTTTATGCATTCCAGACTCAGTCACGCTGTCGAGAGGTGTTTCAGCGGCACTGACCTTGCGATTATTTGTGTCCATTTGGTATTTTCACGTGCAGTGGTGAGGCACTCGCCAGGCCTGCGTAAGATTGTTAAAAAAAATCTGACAGTCCGAGCTCGGTACCGCTCTCCATGTCAATCACTTCGTTGACATTGTCAAATACGAAGACAGCTGCCAGTGGTCCAACGGCTATGTCTTGTATTTTACTTCTTTCAGGAGTGCCGGCTCGATGGAGAAGCTTCCGCCGGACATAAGCGGCTGGCATAGGTACGTCTGTGCTGAAGAGCGAACTTTACGGAGTAATTACTTCGTACATCGGTAGTTAAGCTCCAGTTACCTGTAGTTACGTTACGCAGGACTCGATACTCTGTATCCTTCAGGCTATATTCACATCAGACGGGGACACCTCGTCAAAGAGCCTTGGCTTCCTCCCTTAGACTCTTGCTAATGTCTTGGCAAAAGACGGGAGAAGGCAGGATGGCCCGTGGGGCGGGTTGTCAAGTCCTCCTAGAGTCGGTTTCACTTTCAGCCAGGATTGCCTTAAAAGTTAATTAGATTGGGGCCCGCACATGCCTGTTGGGCTGTGGCAGACGATCGAGATCGTCATCGAACTATGTCGACCGGTCTCTGACAAGACTCCTCATATTGGACGATCTACCCTTTCATCTCTCAATCTGGTTCACTCTGGCTGATGTCCCATTATTGTCTTCTTCAGGTCCCTTAATGGGTCTTCACTTCTTTGATATCTAATAATAATCCAATATTAGGATCACGCATCTTTCCGCGATTCATTAACAACCTGCAATGGCTGAAGGAGTCGACATTATTGGACAGGGCCCAAGTGTGGTTGAAATCGATGGACATGTGTGATACTTTGTTATATCCGCCTATCAAGAAACGTCTAACAATTCTTACTTTAGGCCACTGAGAGTGACTCTACATATGGAGATGAACTGTTCGCGACACAATACTTGGCCCGCTTTTTGCGATTCAATACTGACATATACCAGGTCCAGTTATACGGCATCTCTGACTTCATCGGTACTCAACTACCGAAGGGAGAATGGCAGAAGTTATCACGGCTACCGTGACGGTAGTAAGTCTCGCAGATGAGCAGGCCCAATTGCAGATAGGTTCTTGCTGAGCGCAGAAAGCCTATCTTCTTCCCAATGACGAGGATGAATCCGACCGGCTAGACATGGTTCACGAAATGGTGTTGACGATTATGGATCGAAGACTCTTTTTTGCGCCTATCAGCGAAGCACCACAGCGTGTGCTTGATCTTGGTACTGGAACGGGGATATGGGCCATCGACTTTGGTAAGAATCTACGACCAAGTATATAAATTTTCATGTGCTGACCAGCATCCTGAAGCGGACTTGTATCCGTCTGCAGAGGTAGGCTGTCATGATGAGAATATCTTACAGCCAGCTAAGCTGTTTATACAGGTGATGGGCATTGATCTAAGTCCTAATCAACCAACAATGTACGGAGACACCGTTCATTCGTCAAAGGGAACCGCTACGAAATTAAACTACGCTTTTACTGCAGGGTGCCACCAAACGTGAAATTTCTCATCGATGATATCGAGCAAGAATGGCTGTACAACCGGCCATTCGATTTTATCCACGCCAGGAACCTTAGTTGCTGTATCAAGGACTACAAGAAGCTGATCAAGCAGGCATATGAGTTACGACATTCCTCACTTTTTTTTCAGAGAAGTTCCTTGCTGACTCGGAGCCAGCAATGTGGCCCCCGGAGGTTGGGTGGAAATCCAAGACTGGGAGGCCAATCTGACCTCTCAGGATAACTCGACCAAGAACACCTCCCTCGAGCAATACTACGATGTTGTCCTCGGCGCATTTGAAAAAGTCGGTTATGTATCGAGTCCAGGGCCGCACCTGGAACAGTGGTTCTGCGATGTCGGGTTTGAAGACATCCATGTAGAGAAGTATCCAGTCCCCTTGGGAGTATGGCCCAAGGATAAAAAGTTGGTATGTATAGCACGTCCACTATCCATATCAGTATCAATCTCTGTACAGATATTGACTTTTAGCTGGAAAAAAATCGGCCTATGGAACTTTTTACAGGCAGAGTCCGGATTTGAATCTGCCGCCATGGCCGTCTTAACGCGATACGAGGGATGGTCCAAGGATGAAGTGACGATTCTCGTTGCAAAGGCAAGAACCGATGCGAAAAACCGCGACATTCACTCCTTATTCCATTTGTGAGTCGTGCCTGTCCACATTGTATACTGTCTGGTCCCAGTCTGACGGTCTTAGCTATGTGGCCTACGGTCGAAAACCAGAAAGGTCTACGTGATTCCCTGCGTTACGACACCAGTTGATTGCTACGAATGTCATGATTTGGGCGGCTGCTTAATCACATCATTTGTTTAATCCTCTTTGTGATTCAGATGTACATAGGAGGTTTTTTTTTTGATCTTTTTTTGCATCAGTCATCCAACAACTGCATTGATTTTTCCCTTCCAACATGCCTTCCACGCAAGGGGCACTTCCGTTGGTGAAGCAACACCAACATGCCCATCACTGTTGATTATTGCCAGAATAATCCGCCTGCAGGCATAGCGTCACTCTGTCCGGACGCCACGTTGACGGCACCTGCTGAGCTGGGCTTGCTGCCTTTGAATGATCGTAACTCTAATAAGGCTAATGGCGACTTTAAATGCGAGGCTAGACCTGACTAGACGACGAAGAAGGAACGATTGTCTGATAGATCGTATCAGCTCGTATAGTCTCCTCTGTCGACAGGGGCCAGACCGCCCTGGCCCGCTCGAGTATTATTGACCGAGTATTTGCACTCGCATGGAAAAAGCAATGATGGGCGCACAGCCAGTGACGTCCAGCACAATGTGTACAATATGTTGGTGAAATGTGCAGCCTAAGGCAAAACGGACTCTCGGGCCTCTTCGCTTGAGGGGTTGATCCCGACCTGCCCTGTTCGCATGGGATCTCCCTATCACGCAGAGATGTCGGGGTCGGCGACGCCCTGCCAGTCCATAAGTACCCTGGGCACCAGATGGTTGGCTCGGGTCTACTGTGTGCACCGCACGGCAGTTCACGATGGCTACCTCGTTCCCCTGGACCCAGCTCCTCGGGGCTGTCTGCGTCCTCGTCATCACCAAATTCATCTGGGAGTTCCTCTTTTCGCCACTGAAGGCCTTCCCTGGGCCTCTGCTGGCTAAATTCACCGACCTATGGCGTGTGGTGGCCGTCCTCCGTGGTCAGTTCGATTCTACCAATGTCCGACTACACCTCAAGTACGGTTCCGCCGTCCGGGTCGGACCCAACTGCATCAGCCTGGGAGATCCCCGGGCGATCAGGACCGTCTATGCGACAAAAGATCCATGGATCAAGGTACTTTTCAACTTGTCTCAGATATAACTGAAACCACTGCTGACAGACGATCTCCAGAGTGACATGTACAAACCCAATGATGCTCTCGTCAATTGCCGGAGAATATCGAATATCTTCAACACGCCAGATGAAGAATGGCATGCGAAACAAATCAGACCGATCCGGAATATGTGGACAATGACCAAAGTGCTCGATTATGAGCCTCTCATTGACGAGACCTTGGACAAATTTGTCAACAAGCTTGCTGCCAAATTTGTTGATGGGGCAAATGCTGGAAAGACCTGCCCTATAGATGAGTGGCTAGGTTATTGTATGTCTGCTGCACATACAGAGTGATAGGTTGCTCACCTCCACGACAGTCGCATGGGATGTCACCGCAAACGTTAGCTTCGGACGGCACTACGGCTTCATCGACCAGGAAAAGGATGTCGACAATCTCATCGGCGATTCGACCAAGGGTCTCTTGTACTTTGCGCCGGTAAGAACTTTTGCACATTACCTCCTACAAAACAAGCTACTCACAACACGATCTGTGGCAGGTCTCGCAAATGCCCTGGATCGACCACCTGCTCGACAAGAACCCCATCGTCCGCATCGGCCCCAAGCCCTTACTGACGGGCATTACGTACGCATTCCGCGTCGTGACCGAATACCAGAAAGAGCTTTCCGAACAGCAAAAGAAAGAGCCCAGCACCGTCAGACACGCGCTGGACAAGTACGTCCGCCTGAAGGAAAGCTACCCAGACATCGACGACAACCAGATCGTCAGCTGGTTGATGCTGAACGTCCTCGCCGGCGGCGATACCACCTCTGCCACGATGCGCGCCGTTGTCTACTACCTCGCCAAATCGCCAGCCGCCTATAACAAACTGATCAACGAGCTGGACGCAGCACAACTGTCGTTGCCGGCTAAATGGAAGGACATTTACGTCCTCCCGTACCTCGACGCCGTAATCCGCGAAAGCATGCGAATCAACCCGGGCATAGCGATGATCTTCGAGCGCGTCGTCCCTAAGGGCGGGTACACCCTTCCCTGCGGCCGCTACATTCCCGCTGGGACCAAAGTTGGCGTAAACCCCGCCGTGACGAACCGCGATTACGAGGTCTTTGGTGCTGACGCCGATTCTTTCAACCCGGACCGGTGGCTCAAGGGCGCGGACGAGAGCCAGCAGGACTATGAGGCTCGACTGCGACAGATGAAGGATGTCTGCGACTTCACCTTTGGCGGAGGCGGTCGGGTCTGCATGGGTCGGTACCTGGCCGTGCTGGAAATTTACAAATTGATTGCGACGCTGTACAGCTTGTTCGATGTGAGCATCCCTCCCTCAAGAATACTGCATGCCGCAAAGGCGTGACTTTGGCTGACAAGAATCTCAATTCAGATCAAACTTATCAATCCAAACCACAAATGGAAGTATGTCGATGCCTGGTTTGTCTACCAGTACGATATCCCGGTCACCATCACCCGCCGAAAGAAGTGAGGGAATAAAAAAGGAATCGAAGGGGAAGGAGGTGTGAATCGAATGAAGTGATGAAGGACAGGACATGGGATTTTTGTTATTCGCTGCAATCAAAGGAGTCAAGGATATGATTGATTTTGATGCCTTGGATTGTATAACCGAGGATAAAGCAATTCCCTTGTTCTCCATCTGGACAACTCATGGACAGGCGGCATGTCTTGTCGGAACCCTCCTTATTTTGCTCGAAACGTCCGCGGAGATCGTCGCCGCACTTGGGACACTGGGCTGTCATGCTTGTGCTGAGTATTTCACGAGCTCGACGAAGGTCTCTATCCACCCTCAGGAAGGCGAGTTCATGGAGGTGTTTCTCAAGACAATGGTTGCAGAATGTGTGACCACATGGAAGTACGACTTCCATACTTGATAATCCGCATTGCTGACACCGAGTTTTTTTAAAATGGACCTAATTGCTCGGATCAGCTAGACTTACTGCGATTGTCATCTCTCGCTCTTTTGGCTCGGGGCTCGTCGGGGCTCGGATCATTATTGCAATCATGACTGTCTCCGGGATTTTTCTCTGGACTCTCTGGATCCTCTCGCTCTCGCTTTGTACATTTTGGTAGATCAAGGGTCCCCAAGATTTGAAAGGTGGCGGTCATCGCCCTCGATGCAAGAAACACCCGGTGAGGGCGACCGGCTAAGGCGTGGTACCTGTTCTAAGGCAGGCGGAGACTGAATGTTGGCCATGTCTTCAGTGATGAGATAATGACTGTAATAGATGTAATATCGGCCTGACAATGACAATATTATTGAAGAATGAGACTGGACTATGTAGGGGGATATGGCGCCTTCATATTTTAGTTCTATGAAATCATCCGATACTGCTTGCCGTGCAGCATAAGCAAGAGTGGAGCTCAGGACACAGAACACAGCCCAGGATGTTTTATCAGATCCCGGACAAGGCGTCTCTCACCATTTCGCCCGCGATAGTAGACGCCCCTGAACTCAGCCTGCTTCATGCGCCCTGCCCCTTGGACCTCCCTTCCTTGTACCGTCGGAGATGATCTGGATTGACAGGGTACGTGATTGGATTGAACTCGAATTCCGATGGTAAATGCATTACTTCCAATACTCAGCCTATCTCAGACGCATTATGCCTCTGGATTCATCACAAATCGGATCCTGGATACGCTCCTCATCAGTTTTAATGCATGGCATGATGCTGAACAATATCTCAGCGCTGATAGAGGGCACAAGGGTATTCTTATGCACTTGGCTTACTGAGAGTCCAGGAACACCTTTCGACGAGTGGCTTACACTCATTGCATGATAAATGGGAAATGTCCATTCCCCCCGCGTAAAGGAGACGCATAGCGCTTGCATAGCTCTTGAGGCTGTAAATAAGAAATTACCTACACATCCTATGCTTCCTTTGACTATTGAACCTTGAATTGGCAGGAGGAGTGCATAAGTAGCTAAGCCACCATACAAGGGCGTCAGAAAATTTATGTACCACATGGAACTAGGGGCGCTCTAAGATCCATGGTTGCCTGTGAATGTCGTTTACCGTTAATTATACTCAGCCCTCGGATTCTATGAGTGCTTTTTCATGCCCCTATCTCCTGAGTCATGTTTCGTTGTCGCTATTATGCGTCACTAGTGATGGTGGGTGGTGGTGCGAGGTTCACATTTTGGCCTCTCGAAGTTCCATTTCGGAACTTCTGTCACAGGACCGGCGATGTTATTGTCATCATGCCGACATGACTTACCGTCCAAGCTTCGTCACCTGAATGACTCCACTGGCTGCCCGAGACCTCTGGAACCGCCTCTAGGTGGCATTCAGCACCATCCACAACCTCTCTCATACTCATGCATCATGGTATCTGTCCAACCAACGATCTCGGATCCCTGGACGGGCAGCAGAAAAGCATGAGTAGCTAAGCCATCATACAACTATGTCCAGGAAATTCATGCACGGCACCAAGAGCACCCCCTAGATCCACACAGCATGTAAACCGCTGCCATTACTGCTGAGACTCAGTCCTCAAGAGCCACAGTTGTAGGGAGAAAAAAGGTCATGCATTGGCCCTCTTCAAGTCCATCGTCTTCTCCTCTGAGTTGTCTCTGGATAAGAATATCAAATGAACTTCTCCCTGAACCTCGGCTGCTTATGTCACGCAACAAAGATGAAGCGTACTCTGTCAAGTTCCATTGAAAACGTCTCTGTGAAGCGGCAACACTTACCCTCTTCTCCATCTCAGACTGTGAATGTCAAACTGCTGCGATTACTCCCCCTAGAGCTTCTTTTTATTATCCTTGAATATCTACCCTTTCAGACTCTCATGAACCTGATCCAAACACCATCATGGCTGTCAGATAATATATGCAAACTCTTCCTCTCTAAGGAATACTTCGTCCGGCTCCCCCTACATCACCAGTCCAAACTGCTGTCCTTCATTACGAGGGAATGGCTGCGGCGTGGGAAAGCAAATGATTTCGAAGTGTCTCTCAAAACCCTCCTAAACTGGGTATCATCGTTATTTACTGATCGTTCTGGATTCTTGCCTCTTCACTTTGCTGTCGTTGGGGGCATTTTGGAGTTAATCCAACTCTGCCTTGACAAACGTCCGCCGTGTCCTGAAACTATGAAGTCCGTGTCCAACTTCGCCATCACAAACGGGGCCCCTAAATTTGCGATCGAATACCTTTTTGAACGCAACCCCGAGACCATTCTCAACCTACCCGGCTCATTGCTTGTTAAAGCAATGAACGCCGGCCGTCTGGATATTCTGGAATTGTTGCTAGATAAAGCCAATCCTGATGACCTTGCTATGCTTCATGTTGCAGCACAAAGTGGTTGTGATGATCTCATTGAAGAGCTGTCGAAGAACCTCAATTCACTGGATGATATAGTGGACAAACACCAACGGACAGCACTACATCTTGCGGCGAGCGAAAGCGATCGTGACATGATGCGTTTGTTGGTGAAACTTGGCTGTTCGATATCTTCCCAAGATGCCCAAGGCCGGACCGTCCTCCATCATGCTGTTCTTCCTGTTTGCGAGATAGACTTCTGTCAACCCGAGTCGGAAATCAAGGCTGTCAAAAGATGTGTTAGATGGCTCATTAGACAAGGAGTCGACAAGGGCGCAAGAGATGTCTTTGGAGAGACGCCATATGACTATGTGAAAGAAGAGCTGATTGACTGGAGGATCCTCAAACCAAGCCCACAATCTCGGCGCAGTGAGTGTTTAAGTTCAAAAAAGACTAGAGCGGTAACGTCATCCATAACCAACTCATAGTATAGATATATCAATGAAAGAGAATTGATGTCGGATAATGAATGGAACCAACTACTCCCTGTAATCATATTCCCCTTCTATCCACACTTCAGTTGAAAAAGATCTATTCAAATAAGACACTCTCGGTCTTGAGTGCCAGATGACATCCGAATCTGACACCATCTCCAGAGTATTGTTTGCCTGAATGTGTAGACCATTACATCATAAGAAAAAGGAGAATCCATTGATTAACAAAACTATGGGCGATTCTGTCTGAAGTCAATGGTCGCTTAACTGATATACATAGAAGCACATGCTTTACTAAATAGTATCGAAACAACTCGCATCATGTTTTATTGATAAATAATGTAGCTACAAGGTATGGTCTCACAACACACTGTTATAATTATTAAATATTTGATTAACAAATAATGCCATAATAACAGGAGATTCTTGGCTAAATAAGTCTCTTCCTATCTAGACTTATCTTTGGTTGCTCAGGTATATAAGCCGACTCATTTTTTTTTCCTAGTGATACAGTAGTAATACCTATATAGTAGCTAGAATAATATAGTGTTAAAATGGCTAAAGTGTCAAAAACACATAATTTATAAATATAAAGCGCTAAGTTATAACTACACTTTCCCCCTTTTTTTAGGGTAAAATAGAGTAAATTTTGTTCTATCGGCTCGATTATAATCAGCCCCAGGCTAGACCGACAAAATAAAACCTGTTCACATGTCTCTGCTAGTGAGATGGCGGACAGAGATTATTTAGGCTGATATCAAAGCTTCATCAGCGCGACCTTAAATATCGCAATTGAACCCTTCTTCACTGTTTAGACTCTTCCGATTTTGTCCTAGTTTCTTTTTCGAATATTGGGTCTCATTTGCTTTCACGGAGCAAACGTTCTCACAGCTATGCCATGTTTGAGGCGCTCAGTGGGGCTCGGACTCCTTTTCTTTTTCGTGATGAATCCTTCGGTCCATTCGCTACGCTTGATCCGGCGAATGTTACCCAAAAAACCTGAATTTGCATTCCATATCTGGATAATTTATTCGATCATATCCCGGTCTTTGAATTGATATTCTCAAACTCAGCTTCGATGACACATCGATCCAATATTGTTCGGTGAGAGTTGATCAAGAATGATTGCTGAGTACGGTGCTGCGACAAGTTTATTTGCATTTTGAGTGGTGTTTGTCAAAGCTAATGTCTTTGCGCTGGTTCCCTGAAACAATTAATGTGTGTTCGGTGGTGAGATCAGTTTTGATCCGGTCTGTATGGAAGTTGATGTTTCGATTTCGAAGTTCATCCTGCAATTCAGGAGATTCAGTATATCTAAGAAAATATCCCTTCCACATGCAATATATCAAGTTTACTGAACCGGATAGCGGCATGTTATCTCTATTCTATTAAAATACAACTGTTTACGAGAATCGAAACGTGGTATGAGCCTCCATTATGAGTTTGTGTACTCTGTATTCCAATAGGCCGTTAAGCTGCCTCATTCTTTCAATTTATAGATATAACAAGAACCTCATTTGTTCATTTATTGAAGCCTTGCAATAAACTGCACGATTTCCGGCCAACCCTCCCCTCCTAGATGCATTTGGTTTTGGACACAGCGCATGGCCTCCGATCAAAATTCAGTATGTATACCTCTATTAGTGAGCTTTATAGCGTAACTCTAGATCCATGCTGCACAATCTGCAAAAGTAGGCCCAGAACTAGCGCTATATGCCAGGACAATCATCCTCGAATACATAATCAAGGCGTAGATTGAAGTCGTGAACATCACATATGCTTGGGCTCCATCTTCCAGTAATTCCGCATTTTTTCGGGAAGTCTCAAAATGTACGCTAACACTCCTGCCGTAATATAAACGGCGTAACATACGAATGCCGAATTCAATGGCTGTCGACAAGGCGTGTTGCGTATCAAAGAGTGCAAGACAGGGAGTAAGCCGAGTACGCCGTAGAAAAACATGAGCAAATACTGCTTTCCCCCAAAGAGGTTACGTTCCTAACTTCTTGCTGAAAGAGACTAATCGTGCACACCCCTATGAGTTCGGGGTAATATACGTAAGCAATCGGAGAACAGTTATCGACGTCGGAGTCCGCGATTGAAGCTCACCCCTCACCAAATACCTTTGAAATGTGTTTCTCGCTCCCCAACCCTTTTTGCTCCTCTCGCTTCAGCAATTTTTCCCCCTGACCATCGGCATCAGAATGACCGTCGCTCCAGAAATTCCAGCCCCCCCTCCAGGCAACCCAAGCACCCAATTCCTCTGCCTAACCATCTGCGGCTACCGTCGGCCTGGTATGAGCGAGGAGGACTATCGACACCACATGACACAAGTTTCAGCGCCGATGACAAAAGACCTGATGGTGAAGTATGGCGTGAAGCGGTGGACTATGGTGAGCCTTTTTCCGCTCCCACTGACCCGTTGTTCCTGTGCAGGAGCTGATTGAAAAGATCCACAACACAATCGAGACCCGCGCCCTTATGAACAAGCTCTTTGACCACCAGATGGCCAACCTGGCCGACTTCGACTGCTTCAGCCAGGTCGTGTTTAAAAGCGTCGATGATTACAAGAAGATGAAGGAGGATCCGTGGTACAAGCAGCATCTGGTGGGAGACCATGAGAAGTTTGCAGATACCAAAAAGAGCATGATGACAATCGGGTGGATTACGGAGTTTATCAGGGATGGGGAAGTGGTGGATGGCATGAAGGACTGTTGATCTTAAGTAGTGTTAAGTTTAAGTTGGTTAGACAACATGATCGTATCCCAAAGACTTCAAGCACAGATTTCCTAATTCCAAAATGTCCCCAACGTACCCAAAACCGCCCCCGTCAGCGGCAACAGCGACCTTGTAAAATGCAACCAACTCCACTTCACCACCAGCTCCTTGGCTCCCAAAATCCCCATCACCAACGGCTCCGCCTTGCTCGCTGCCTCCAACCGAAACAGTTCGTTGTTCGTAGGCACCATGAAAATCCACGTAAACGGCAGCATACTCACTGTCGTCATGCCCGCCAGCGCGAACACGCCCCATGGCTTTTTCGCACTACGCCTCTTGGTGCACGTGTAGCTATAGAGGAGGAATGTGGCCACGGCCATGGTTGGCAAAACCTGGTGCCCGTAGTGGTACATACGCGTCCACTGGAAGAAGAGCTGGGGCGCCTCAGTGGTAGTGTCCAAGAGGACGGGAACAGCCATGAGGGAGAGCGACATCATTGCTCCTAAGGAGATGTTAGTCCAGACTTCCATTTCTATCAAGCAGCAATATCCTTGGTTCATACCGGAGAGAAAGGACCCTGTTACCACCGCGGTGGCTTGAGCGCTGGTGGTGGACATGATGCTAGCGATTCGCAGATGTGTCGAGGTATGCGATCTGGATTTTTCTTGTAGTTTTCTTGCAGTTTCCTTCTTTTCCAACCTTCAATTGAACGTGAGAAATGGCTTCGTTTATCTATGGCTCTTGATCGTATGACCTGTTTGCTAAGACCGATATTTCCTGACTTGACGCCGATTTCCGACCCCCGATCCCCGTGTGCTCCGACAAACATTGACTTGGCCTCATCGGCCTAACCTTGTTTGTTCACGGACCGAATTGGCATTGTATTGTAGGCATAGTCTCTGTGCTATACGTTACGTAGAAGAGGTAGAAACGAGCGTTCACCATCGAATGTAGCTGAAATCGCGGATAAACAAGTACATCCCACAATTTCTCTATTCATTTATTGACCAATACACAGCGGGCCCCGCGAGAACTTGGCCCATACTCGACGCTTCTGATTCACCACGCTGACATTTCCTCCCTGGCTGCGTCAGGAGGCGTGGATTTTGTTATTGGGCGACTTGAGAAGGTTTCCTAACAGGTGAACTGTAGCTACATATGGAGCAACAAAAATACATTAAATATATTTGTTTTAAAACTAGATGAGTCTTAAGAAGCTCCTAATATTATACATTTATATATACTTGTCGGATTCGCTGCGGAACTCGCTGCTCTGGCTATTTCAGTTTCTGGGTCCAAGCTCCCGAAAATCGTTCTTAAGATAACTCACAGCCCTTCTCGCGAAGAATATATCACTAAGAAGAGAGACCAAGTCGACTCATCCGGAAAGACATCACATTTTAGCTTGGCCAACACTCAAACACGAAGCTGAAAGGCGTACATGCACGAATTCTGGGTTCAGTAATAATACTGTGAAGAGATATATTCCATCTTCACGAACATAGGTACGTCTTGACCATTAAATCTACCGATCCGTGTACGCCTGATACTTTACCTCCAAAGCAACCGCGCCATTGTTTCCCGCCGACCTCACCTTGTTAACCAGTACTAGCCTCCCCTCACTATCACTCACCCCGTTCAATAAATTCATTAACTCGGACATCTCAAGTTCCCGCTCATTCGCCAACTGCATTAGCGATAAATCTCTTATCCGCGTCTGGACCGCCGCTTCAGTGCTCACTGTCCCACGCTCCGACAACGAAGGGACGGTAAGCACCATCGTGGCGGAACGACTCATCCGAAGCGCATTCAAATGCGCTCTCAGTTCGGCATTGATTTGTGTCGCAAGTGAGGTGGACGACGACACCCCCGGCGCCGGCAAGGGGAAATTTATTATGTAGACCGCTGCGTCTAGGATGGGTTGCGGGGTTCCTGGGACTCGGTATTGTACATTAATGCGTGGGTTCGAGCGTGGGTGTTGCGTCTTATCGAATTTTGAAGCTGCGGTTCCGTTTCTGCTGGAGGATAATGCGCATGCTGGGTTTAATTGGACTGTGAAGTGGAGTGTCGGGTATTGCTTTGCGAGTGCTATCGCTCGCTCAGTTGATCGCGCTCCGACCTACATATACCCAAGGAGGAAGCTGTTAGGAAAGAGGCGCCTAGGTAGCGATTGACAGGGGGAGTATCACCTCGACAACAGACGCATTTTCCATCCGGAGGGGCTCAAGACAGGTCAGAATATCCGTCGCTGTATCGCAAAGATACTCCGTTACGTATCGGAGATAAGCATGCCACTGACGCTGGAGCCGGGGCAGTTGAGTCTCGCCTGAACTTGAGAAGGCAGAGTTATTGGAAACGACATTCGCCCGCTCGGAAGATCCAGAACGCTGCTTGGTAGCTGCTGCCATTTCCAAAGCAGCCGGAACCGCCGTTCCCGCAAGGAACATCGCGGCATCTAGGTAGGACGGTTTCGTAACAAACGACGCCGACAACGCGCTGTGGGCTATATAACCCGGCTGAGGCTCCTGCAGAAACCCAGCAGTGGTCGCCATTCGTATGATGCGACAGAGTTGGGTCTCCGGGACGCCTATGAGATCCGATACATCTTTCATCAAGGCGCTGCCGTCCAGAGGGACACAGGCTGGGACTTGAAATTCCCCCAGCCATTGCACGCAGGCGAGCAGCTGGGTCTATTATAATGCAATCAGCCAACTGAGTGGTCGTGCTCTGAGGATTTCTTTGGGCGGAAGGGGGGTGGTGGGCCTGAAGCGTATGTATACCTGACTGGCCATTTGCTGCAGAAAATCAGTCGGTCCAGCCAACATGATCTGGAGTTTGGTGATACTCGCTAGTGCGGATTCCCGTGCGCGATGTGCCTCTTCTGGTGCTCCCGGAGGGATCAGCTGTGGTGGTCCCCCCCTCATGCTATCCACGGCAACTTTGGCATTCTGGCAGTGCGTTGCGAGTCTCTTGATCGCGGTTGAAAGCTCCCTGGTATAGGCCTCGAGCTGAGCTAGGTTGGTCATAGTGCGGTGGGTGGACAGGATCAAAGAAGGTGTTGCGGTGGATTTGACAATTGGGATGAATCGGATTCAATCTACTCGTTTTAAGCTTAACCTGTACGGACTTCGCCCTCGTTCGGCGTGTTGGCCTACTGCTGTTCAGCTTGCACGGGCTAAAGTGAGAAATCAACCGGCCGGTGGTGTCGGACGATTGAGAACAGGACTAACCTGCTGCAAGGGGGGGAGAGCAGTTAGCTTCATAGTACGTACTGGGCCGAAGGGGTTGGTGTTGGTTCATACCACGGTTTTAACACGAGGAGACTACCAGTTGTTAAGACTCAAAACCGTAGTATGGACCAACACCACTAACCCCTTCGGCCCAGTACGTACTTCGTAAAGATACACCGATTAGTTCTGCAGGTATGACTCGGCACCCTTCGTGGCCGAGAACTCGTCAGCAGTGGATACGTAGGCCCTGTTTGCTTCCCTCCGTTCAATCCGTTCATGATTGCTAGAGAAAATTGGTTTGATTGAATAATCGATATAGTTATTAGGGACTAATAGGTACTATACCAGCAGGACCCTATTCAATACTACTTTATTACCTCATCTATAGATACCATCAAGCTGCATTAGCAATATTAATAAACTACCATGAAGATTGGTCCAGGGCTATCTACACAGCCTTGGCAATTTTCAGGGTCAAACAGGTCTCCCACCTTTCCCAAATCTCTTAACCATATCTCTTGTTCCAGCACTTCAAATGTCTTTTATCTTTGAGCACCATACTTCCAGGCATCTCTCGCATCAAATTCACGAAATCAGACCAGTTACGGTAAGTGGAACAACACAAGACCGCATGGCAATGGGAACACTAGCAAATTTTAAGATAGAGCGCAGATTCTTCTGGAGAAGAACCATGCAGGAAATGTTGGGAAGATGCGATGAGAGACCGTGTGACAGACAGGGTCCAAACCCCAGCGTGGACAGGCACCGCGTAGGTGCTGGGGATGGGTATTCTCGCAGAGGTCACTTTGCAAGAGGACGCCAAGATCTGTCCAACAGGGTGGACGAAAAATTCGCGTTGTCGTGGTAGAACACTGCCGGCCTGCCTACGACTGCAGATTTCTCACCACTGTCATGATGACGGACAGCTCAGGCAGCCTTCCACCTTATCGCGCTGAAATCATCAGCATAGATGGCAAACTAAAATCAGGCGGTTATTGTAAGATAAAGTAAGCCTAATGTAATCTTACAGCGGGGAAACCAACATGGGGGCAGATTTGTTCCCGGCCCGGTGTATCCCGAAAAAGATGAAATATTCGCCACTCAAAACACTATACCTAATTGATTTTCTGGCCAATGATATTCCGTAGGTTATAGATTGTGGTAATATATATCAATCAAGCAAGCGGTAAATAGTGGCGACCAACATACACTAAGTGGATAATGTACAATCCTTTCGGGGTGCCCCTTCTTCACCGTTAGGTTACATTCCCCGCCCTGGTCAAGTTCATCTCACTGTCGGTGGCGCAAATCCAGACCTAGAATGAGTTCGCGACCCCACCTGAATCGAATGCAAGGCAATCAACTTCGTCTTTTCGTTTCCTCTGTGAAGAATCTGCGAATGGGCAGCAGGAACGGGCCGTACTCCTCTACCGTAGGGTCGACTGTCTAGTGTTTAGTGCTTACCGCATACACAGTCAACGAAACTGATGACTAAACACTGAAACCGCCCTCAACGGGCGAGCTGTCATTCATCATTCCTACTATTTGTTCCTGCTGCACCCTTCCTCCGGGACGATGTTGCCATATCGTGGACTCCCCACCGCCCTTCATCCAGAGCTTTTGGATCGACCGTGGTATACGTCTCTGGTCTCCGCAGGCTCTTCGGTCTCCCTCATTGTCGATGACCACCCTACAATCCCCCCTGACCCCTCCAGCTCGCCGAAGCATGGCGCCCGCAGGCCCCAAACTGCGGGACAGTTGCAACCGTTGTGCCGCGTCCAAGCTCAAATGCAGCAAGGAGAAACCGACCTGCGCTCGGTGTGCAAAGCGAGGCATGGTGTGCGAGTACTTTGCGACCAAACGCGCAGGTCGGAAGCAGGGCAGCCGGCCCCCGGTGACCCAGGATTTGCCAACGACGGCATCCAGCTGGACGACCGCTATTTGTGACCCCGAGATATTGGCTTCCCCGGGGGTCATGCAGCCGTCTCCCAGATCACCGCCCGTGGGCTACCCAGACATCTTCTCAGGGGCTTCCTCGTTGGCCGATCCGACGGCATCGACTCCGTCCTCGTTGAATTTCCACGCCGACGACTTTCCGGCCCCTCCCATTTCGTTTTCCATGTTAGAGTTGCCTGATGCGGGCGGTCTGACGGACTCTTGCCAATTTAACGATCAGAATCATATGAGCAATTTGAGCGATCTCGGTAGCGCGACGCCGCTTCTTGCTTCGAACAATGTCTCTTCGTCCATGGAAACGGCTGCAGTTCCTGGATTTCGACCGTCCTCCTCCGCACCACCGCCAGAACGCCTGGACGGCCGCCGGTCGTCGATGATCAACGGGCTCCACTCGGGGCCGATCTGCAGCCTCCTGGTCCGCGCCCTTGGCCTGCTCAAACAACTGCCCTCCCCAGCGTCGGCATCCTGCCATGCTTCCAAGGGACAGGGCTTGGAGAACCATCACGGGCTCGACCGACCCCCGACCATCCAATCCGTAATCGCCGACAACGAGCAGACGGTCCAGGCGATTAGCGATATCCTACAATGCCAATGCTCCCAGGACGGATATCTTCTCGCCATTCTGTCTGTTATTATTTTCAAAGTGTTGGGCCGGTACGCCGCTGTGGTGCGGCAGACGCCCGCTTTGGACGGCGACGGCCAGTGTTGGGACACGACTCGTTCGGATCATCGGGCACAGCAACACCCCGAGCATGGACAACGGCCTCCCGCGGTGGTGGTGGTGGTGGGTGACTACAGTGCGGATGGCGAGGATCAAGGTCGCATGGCCGCGCAGCAGATCCTCAGCCAGCTCCATCGCGTGCAGCGGTTGGTGAATATCCTGTCCCAACGCTTCAAACCCCACGGAGGACGCGCGGAACCCCCGAGTTCCTCCTCCTCCTCCATCGACGGCTCGGACGTACTCTCGTACACAGAGAGCTTGTTTCCGTTTCCGGACTCGGTGCTGGAGCAGATGGAGGTTGACCTGCGCAAGCGTCTCCGCAACTTGTCGGCGGAGATTGTGGACATCCTTCGCTCAGGGTGATACGGCCAGTGCATAGCTGAGTGGTGAAACAGCTGTGTGGCATCCGTATTTAGTGCCCGCCCTTGGGGAAGGCTTGGCACTAGATATGGCGCGGGTTCGAATCCTGGAGCTGGCACAATTTTCACCCGCTGTACCAGGCGTATTGGTCCCACATATGCCGGGTGTTGACTAAGCACCCATCCATTGTCCAATCATTGTCATATCCTCATGTATTATGTCTCTAGGACCCCAGAATAATCGGCTGTACCATTGTCAAGTCTCCTGTATGCCAAAAAATAGCTAGTTAAGCCCTAC